ACCTCGCCCCGCGTCGCCGCGGCCGGGGAAGGTGGTCGGCCCGGCACGTGGGCGCAGCGCGGGGCCGGCCGGGGTGGGGCGGCCACGGCCCGGGGATCCCTTTCTCTGGACCACATTTTCGCGGGAAGCCGGTGCTCTTCACTCCCTTGGAGTGAGCCACCCGGCTGGTCCTCTTCTCCGGAAAGTTTCTAGCCCCCACCCCTGCGCCCCCGCTCAAGAGGCGTCCCCACCTTCAGCATCCACTGAGCCCCGCTGTCTCGCACAACCGCCCCCATCGAGTCCAGGAGATCGGTGGGCTGGCTTGGCTAGAGGTGACAGGCTTTGCTGGGTCCATCGTGTGCAGGAGTTCCAAGGTCGCTAAGCAGAGCCCAAAGGTGGGAGTTGCTAGCTGCAGGCAGGCGGTGCCCGGGATACCAGGTCCCGGTTGTGGAGGCCTTTGGGCCTAGGCCCCTGTGCCTCAGAGTTGCCGGGGTGGTGGACAGTGGGAAGGGATGGGGTTGGGGTGAGGGTGGGGTACAGACGCGACAGGACCCCCGGGCCCCGCTGTGGGCGCGGGCTGCTGCCTGGGGGCCCTTGCCGGCAGGCACCTTCTGGCCCTCCCACAGTTGCCAACGTGTCTGCCGGTAACTGCCCCCTCCATTGCCAGTCTTGGGGGTGAGCTCCGTCTGGGCCATCGGAGGCCTAATCCACTGCTGCTGCTTCCCCTGTTCCACAGACCCGGTCCTGAGGGCCTGGCTTGGGGGGCTCCTTCTGGAAGGCTGGGCGTGGGGGGTGGTGTAGGCAGTGTTCAGGTGCTCAGCTGAGCTTGTCTGACCTCATGGCCACCCACAGGCTGGCACCCCCACAGGCTCCTCAGGGGAGGGTGTGCTTTCCACCACTGGAGGGAGACCCAGCCAGGAAGCCAAGCTCAGGCTGACTTCTTCGCAGAACCTGGGGAGCGGGGCCTGGTGCGGGCTAGCTTGTCACACGAGGCACAAGCCAATGCTGCTCTCTCCTGAGCGGCCACCTCCGGGCCGGGGCCGTGGCTGTGGCCGTGGTATTTGCCAGGGTGATTTTAAATACGTTGATATGTGTGAAGTGCTCTGAAAGCTACCTGCACAAAGGAAGAGGCATGTAAGTACTGCTAGTGATGTTCCTTCCACACTCCACACTTTTTTTTTTTTTTAAAGATTTTATATATTTATTTGACAGAGAGAGAGAGACAGCGAGAGAGGAGGGAACACAAGCAGGGGGAGTGGGAGAGGGAGAAGCAGGCCTCCCGCTGAGCAGGGAGCCCGACGCGGGGCTCGATCCCAGGACCCCGGGACCATGACCCGAGCCAAAGGCGGACGCTTAACAACTGAGCCACCCAGGCGCCCCGTCACACTCCACACTCTTACTTACCCTCCAGAGCTGCCCCCTAATTCCAGAGAGGGTGCCTGGGAGGCGCCAGCTATTGGGGGGGCTAGAAATTACCCTGTGGGTCATCTTTTCTCTTTGCTGGGAGCGGGTGGGCCTGGGCCGAGGTGGCGCTCTGACCTTGCTCTGCTCCTGTCTCCACCGAGTACTCTCTGTACCGTCCCTCAGCATCACTGCACTGGGTGGGAGATCTTCGGCTGTCCAGTGGGCCCTGGGTTTCATCGAGGGTTGCAAGAGAGGGGTTGTAGGAGTTGGGGCCAGTCCCCCGTCCTCTCCCCAGCCCAAGTTGAGGGGGTTAGGAGGGGAGCATAGCTGGAAGAATTTAGGAAGGGGAAGTCAGAATCACCTGCCGGGACTGTGGGCTAAGATGGCCTCTGTAGCTCCGGACAGCAGGGACGCTCTTTCCTGGGAGCAGAGACCAGGGCCGCGGAAGCCCTCTGCGCCTTCTAGGCTGCCTTCCCTTCTCTCCCTCACCCCCTTCTCTACCCAAAGCAGTGATTCACTCCCCACTCCTCAGAAACAGATTTGTTTGGCCCCTTTACCCTCCCAGCCCTTTAAGGATCCAGTTTTCTGGGTAGAACCAAGAATCTGATCCTTTCTGGAATTGTAACAAATCCGGGGGAAGTCCCCAGCAGGAGCAGAGACGTCGGACCCCCTTTCTCTGTTCCAGCCTCACCTGTGGTCATTCTGTAGTTACCCCATGCTGGCCTGGCATCTGCCCTACGTTGGGGGCCCCCTCGGACCCTATCTGGGCACATTCTCTGGGTCTCACCTCAGAGAGGCTGCCCCGGTGGTGTTATGAATTCCCCCTCTCAGAATGGTTCACACTTTCTGTCTGGGGGAAGGAGTTACTCTACCTTAGAATAATACAGAATGGTTCTAGCCCACAGGGGAGGGAGAGCTCCAGCCTCCTGAAAGGGACCCTCCAGATCAGTGTCACAGAACATTCCAGAGGCTGAGGGCCTGGTCTGCAGATGGGGATCAAGGCAGGCACGAGAACCTAGCTGAGCTCCCGAGCCCCTGGAGATGGACCCTGGGCTCTGGAGAGGGGGGTGATCAGGTAGTGAGGGGAGGTCCCCCAGAAAACTTCTAGAACTTGCTCCCTCATGCCGACTCCTCAGCTGCCCTGTCGTGAGACATTTCCCCCCTGCAGCAGCTATCTGGGCCTTCCCTCACCCCTCCCCCCGGCCCCCGCCCTGGGCCCTCCTTCCTTCTCAGGGTCTGGAACCTTGACCTGAAACCTCTGGTTGCCTCCAGAAAAGGATGAGAGCAGGCAGAAAAGGATGGAGGCTGTGGTCCTTTGTTTCCCTCTGTCCTTCGGGGCTCCCTTCCCAGAGGCGCTCAGCACTGCTGTGTGTGTGTTCAGAGGGCCCCTGGGTGGGCTGCTGGCCACCCCCGGCCTCAGAATCACCCCTGACCTCTACCGCATTCCCAATGTATCTGTGTGTGTGTGACACTAGGCTGCAGATGGGGGAGTGGTTGGATGTAGCTGCAAGTGGGAGCGCAGTGTATGTGATGCCTGGGCCCCAGCCACGTGCCACGGGGCTTCCGATTGGGGCCCCCGAGCCCAGCACGGGGCTGAGCTCTGCCAACGGGTTGCGTGGGGTCGGTTGCTTTCCAGGGTGAGAGGGACCTTCAAGCGTCCAGAACTGCAGGTTTTCTTCTGGTCTTGGCCCCTTGCCTGGGACCAGGAGACATACAGGCAGCTCCTGACTCTCTCTCTGCCCACCCCAGCCCTGCAGAGCTGTCCTGTAGAAAGATGCTGGGCCGACTCTAGAATCTGAGGCCCCGGCTTCTGCCCAGCATGGAGGAGGGGCTGCTGCTAGGGCCGAGGGCAGGTGCAGGCCTGGAGAAGCCCTCAGTGTCTACCTGGGCCTCGAGTGTGGCAAGGCAGGGCTGCAGAAGCCTAGAAGCAGCTGTCCTCGTGTGGTAGGACGGTTCCTTCTTCCTGCCTGGACTTTCCCTCTGCAGCCCAGCCCAGTGGGTCAGGCGCTCCCGGATCTGGCTTCCCCGGGTGGGGTGGGGAGGATGGTGGTGGCTGGAGAGGACAGGGACCCGTTTGCAGAGTGCTGGCCCCGCACATTGTTGTTTCTGCCTTGTCCACCATCTGCCCTGTGTCCTCTGCCTGTGCAGCCTCTGTAAACACCTGTCCTTGCAATAAAAAAGACTTAGCAAATAACACAAGTACTTACCATGTATCTATCAAGCACTTCTTAGAAGTCTGGCCCGAGGGCGCCTGGGTGGCTCAGTTGGTTAAGCGACTGCCTTCGGCTCAGGTCATGATCCTGGAGTCCCGGGATCGAGTCCCGCATCGGGCTCCCTGCTCGGCAGGGAGTCTGCTTCTCCCTCTCCCACTCCCTGTTTGTGTTCCCTCTCTCGCTGTGTCTTTCTCTGTCAAATAAATAAATAAATAAAATCTTTAAAAAAAAAAAAAAAAGTCTGGCCCGATAAGCTTAACAAGAAAAAAAAAAAAAAGGCGTGCTGTGCACTTATTTCCATCCCTTTGGGTAAGCCTCACGCACACCTTTCATTCAGCCCATTTATCAATGAAGAAATGGAGGCTCTGGAAGTTGAAACTTTGGCCAAGGTCACAGCTCCTAAGCAGCCGAGCGGGGACTTGTATCTAGGCCTGCTTTGGAAACCTGCTCTCCACTGCTCCCCCAAGCTCAGTTTCCGTCCTTTGGTCTCTGAAGAGGCTCAGAGGTGTGAAGGACTTGGCTCAAGGCCACAGTGCATCAGTGACAGGGCAGACCACAACCTCAGCCTGCCAGCCCAGAGCTCTTGGTGCCGACCCGAACCCCACATGTCGCCCCGCAGCACCCTGGCCTGGAGTGCAGGCGCTT